ATCAGAGCAGCTGGGGTCCTCCATAAGATCTGCCAGGAAAAGGAGTCCCAAGCCTGCATAGGCTGGGAAAGCTGTTAGAATTTAAAGTAGAGAAAAGGATCATGAGGTTTTAGAAAATCACAGGAATTGAATTGGACCACTGTGCTGTTTTATTAGGTGGGATTCATTGCTTTGATTTTGTTTAGACTGTTACCATGTTCCAAGGATAATTCCAAGGGTGAAGGGTAGGGTAGGTCAGTGAGCAGAACAGCAAGAATGTTGAGCTCATGGAGCGTATAGTTTGGAGGTGTGGAGGGAGGTAGATAGAAAGAAACCAGTAGGCTTTATCTGTGTAGTATTAAGTGCAGTAAAGACCATTAAACTGTTACTGTTAGAATGAGGGTGGCCATGGTGGGCCTTTATTTTGAGTGACTGAAAAAATCATGTCTAAGAAGGTGACTCTGTCTCTCTCTCTGTCTGACTCTGTCTGTCTGTCTGTCTGTCTCTCTCTGTCTGACTATCTGTCTGTCTGTCTGTCTCTTTCTCTCTCTGTCTGACTCTGTCTGTCTGTCTGTCTGTCTGTCTATCTCTCTGTCTCTCTCTTTGTCTGACTCTGTCTCTTTCTCTCTCTTTCTCTCTGTCTGACTCTGTCTGTCTGTCTCTCTCTTTGTCTGACTCTGTCTCTCTCTCTCTCTGAGATAGGGTCTTGCTATGTAGTTCAAGCTGGCCTTGAGCTCACCATAGAGCCTAGAGTGGCCTTAAAATCACAACGCACCTTCTGCCTCTGCCTCCCATGTACCAGAATTACAGGCATGTGCCACCACACTCAGCTTACTGAGAAGGTGGTTCATGATTCTTCTTACCTAGGAGGGGAGCAGGAGCTGGCCATGTACCAGTCCATGGGCAGGGTCCCGGCAACAGGGAACGAAGTCAAGAGGATGAGATGGAGCATTTATGTCCAGGAAAGAGCTACACTCTGTGTGGGCACAGTTAGGAGGGGAAGCCTAACACAGTATTAGTGGCAAAGTTGAAGGGTCTTGAACATCACAGTGGGGTTAGAAAGAAGGACTGTGTGTTTTCACTGTACATCCAGGAGATGAGTAGTTAGATGTGAGGAGGAAAATCTGGATGAGTATGTGTCATGGATGCTCAGAGAAGTTTATGAAACTAGGATATTGATATCTGTGTAATCTGTGAGAGACTCCCCCAAAACACAGGGTCCTACTTACTATATCCCATTGGAAGTTGGGTGTAGTCTGTCATCTTGAAGTGGGGTGCCCAGGTGTCCTGTCTTCCACAACCTCACAGGGTAGGGGAGGCCTGAGAATTGCCTGCAGTGAGCTCAGGAAGCGTTGACAAAGGTAGGCCACACCCAGCACTACCTCTATACTTGCAAGGTCGAGTTTTTTAAGTCCTATAGGATGTGAGTGTTCTTTGGTGGTAGTGCTAATTATGTTTTGGTTAATTGAAACAAATGACCTTGAGATGAGCAAATGTTTTTATGCAAGGAAAGAAAAGAATGCAAGTTTGATTGCCTCCAGTATGATAAATAAAAACTAGACTTGCACGCTCACTTTTGGAGTAACTCTATATTGTGTTTATTGTTTACTAAAGGAAAAACTTCCCCAATTGTTGATAGGATTCTGTAGAAATGATTCCTGGCAGTGACTGAGAAATGCAGTAATGGGGAACTGCACTTGATCTCTTTTGAGGTTTGTTCTGATGTGTGTAGTCTTTACATCCTATTAAATTTTCGAAAAATAAACTGATACAAGAACAATTTGCCAAGGCCGGCAACTCTTCCTTTTAAAACCTCGACTCGGTGCACACATTGTAGGGATGGGAGAGTAAGATAAAAGCATTATAAATATGAGGTTAACTGAATTCAAATAGAAGGCTCTCTCAAGTTATTGCATTCCTTAGAAAATAAATACATTGCGCATATGGTTAAGGTTGATCAAAAAAGTGTTCTGTATGCCAGTGATTGCATTCCCATCTGTGATTAAGGTTTGCTGTCGGCATCTGGTTTTCACATTATATTTCTGTAACAAGAATCCTTTATATAGCAGAGTTCACTTTCTGTATTTTCTATTAGCTGCAGCTTGAACTACTGCACGGATCGCAGATTTACACATGTGGTTTTCATTACTTCATACCATTGAGAAAAAGTAATATTTGTTTGGGAATGTATGTTTTCCACAATTTCCATGGTAATACAACATGTTGAGCCTTTTTAATAATACTCTTGTAGGACTACAAATTGAGTTCTTGGGGGAGCTTAGTTCTTGGGGGAGCTTAGTTTTTCAACTTTTCTTAGTGTATGTTCCCCTCATAATGGTGTCTTCTTACCAATTTCAGGGCTGAGGATCCAAACAAAATAATTATTAAAGAGAAGTTTTACTGTCATTTGCATGTGATGCAAACTTTAGTGTGGAATAGGTAGCCCGGATATCTGAACATGAATTTCATGGTGCTCTTTACCGTGACTCTGTGTTACTATTTCATATGGGAAGTGCATTTAATGTGTTGGTTCTGTGGAGCACAAGCACGATACTACGAAGTCCACAGATGAGCTTTGTAAAGAAGTTCTTTTGATTGTAACATAGAGTAAAATTTCACAAATAGAATAGTTGCGTGGGTGGATAATTCTCCTAGGTAGATATAGGTTTGCATTGTGCTTTACTCCAAAATGTATTCGTATATTAACATTTAAGGCCAGGCGTGGTGGTGCCCCCTATCATCCTAGCACTTGGGAGGCTGAGGCAGGAGAATTGCCACAGGTTCAAGGGTAGCTTGGGCTACACAGTGAGTTCAAGACCAGCCTGAACTACATAGCAAGACACTGTCTCCAGAAAAAAAATTAAAAAAGGAATTTATACATCTGTACATTTAGAGCTGGCTAAATAGCTCAGGGGTTTAAAGCGCCTGCAAGCAGGTGCAGGGGCTGGGGCTTGGATCCCCAGCCGGCCTTGCCAGCCCTGCCCCCGGGGCGCCCTGAGAGGGCAATTGAGACTGGGCGTGGGGGCGCACGCCTGTAATCCCAGCTCTTGGGAGGCTGTAAACAGGCGGATCACTAGGAGTCCGATCTAGTAGTGAGACCCTGAACACCCTGTAGACCCTTCCCTAAAACTAAAAAAAAAAAAACTACATTTAAAATATTCTAACATTACCTTCCCGCAAGGATTCCCCATTCACTTCTGAATATTCTAACTAAACTGCAACCCTATGTGAAGTTAAGAAGTAGATAGTATGAAGTATTCTACCACAAGGGGTCACTTCTAATTGAGAAATTTGTCTTTTAAAGCAGGTTTATGCACATGGTAATTTTGTATGCACCTGAGCTGACTGACATTCGCAATGCTGTTCATAAGCCAGCTTGCATCTGCTATTAGTGGTCACCAGTGGAAGGAAGCAGCCTGAGACCCCAGGGGCCTCCTGTGTGGCTGCTGTGTTTGTGCAGTGGAGCTTCCTAGCGGTGGTCCACGCAGGACCACCATCCACTTTTATCTGTATCTCCCATGTCTTTTGTTGATGGCTGCTGATGCACAAAATATTGCCCATTGTAGATTATGTCTGAATCTAAAAGAATTTTCTTCTTCTCCCTGTGTTTAGCCTCCCTCTATGTTAACCTTGGTACAAAGCATTGGATGTAACAGAATTGAGTGGAAACATTACACGTTATTTCTATCTTCCAGAAATAACCCTGTTAATATCTAATGTATTGACTTCCAATTTCTCCCTTTGTGCGCCCCTCCCCCTCAGTATTTGAGTATTTGCATAATCTGTCTGTGTTATGTACCTATATGTCTTGGGTACTTTCTTCTTATTTCCTTTATTATTTGTTCATAGGGATTTTGGAATAAATTCAGTGTTTCCAAGTTCTGGATTCATGTCTTTGATGGTCTTTGCTGAAACTTAAGGCAGTTTCCAACCAAGAAATTTCTAGTGCTGTTTTCTTAATCAGTGCATTTTAACTTTTTTAGATTAAAGAACAAGAAACATGGTTGTATCACAGCATCATAATATACATAAAGTACACTGAAATTTTCAATAGAATCTGACTTTTCTATACATTAGAATCTGCTCATCATTGTAAATTTCTAAAACTAACTTGATTTCAAAAACTAATATTATCATCCTTAGTAATACTTTTTGAGATGGCTTTTATAAATCTTTATTCCTTTATAATTGTTGAGCTCTATGCCCTCACATTTCATAGGTTACAATAAAATTGTAACACTTGTTTTGGTTCATAGTGACAGTAATGGAACTACTACATCAGCAACAGCAGCAGCAGCAGCAGCAGCAGCAGTAGCAGTGATAACTTAGTAGTAGGCACTCAAGGTTTTTGTGAATGGATGAATGAATTCAAAACTGCCAAATCTAGCAGGAAAATTGAGAAAATTTGGATTGCTCTGCAGGAAGAAAAGAAAGTAGTAAAAATTTATTGATTAGTGAAATAATTCATCAGTTGTTTCAACTAAGATTTTAAAAATAATTACATGAAGCTTATTCTTCATTGTTATCAATTGTTTTAAACTGTTTTAGCTGGTCATGGCAATACTGAAACTTCATAGCTGTGAAATACTGTGGATTCCACTTCGTTTTGAAGCATGGGTTAACTTGTAAACTCCAAAGTAATGCAAAAACGTACAATGTCCAAAGAATTTCCTAAAGAAACTGTAATATCTAACAAACAGATTAATTTTTTTATTGAAACAAGTAAAAGCTAATATATTCTCATGAAGCATTGATGTGTATATATATTTAACAACAATTAAAAAGAGTTGTCAATGTGTCCAGCTTTGAGTCAGATGATGAGACAATCAAGAGTCCATTTGAGCATGTCTTTACAGGAACTGAGAAAATGGGGGGATGGTTTGGATTTTTTTAGAAGAGTTTATATTGGTTGCTTAAAATAAAACAAAGCTGGCCTTGTATTATCGTGTAAGTGGATGGATATAATACGTCAGACTGGTTGTGATATGTGCATTTTTTTTCCCTTTGTTGTTGTCAATAGAAAAGATTGATCTCTGGGCTGGTGAACATAATCTCTGTCCCAGTCAGAAAAGGAGAGAGGAGATTAGCAGAGCGGTTGGTGGAGAATGATATCTGTCAAAAGAAACACTTGGAGAGCACTGAGTTTAGTAGTAGGTGACTGCCGGAAAAAAGGGAACTTTGAATATTGTCAAGGTAAGGAACAGATACATATTTTGATTTTGCAATGTACCAGAAAACCCGATCTATTACTTTTTCCCAATAAATTAATAAGTAACTGTGAAGATTTTTTTTCTTCCATTTCTTTATGCAATAGTGCCTGCTGATAGAGTTTGTATTGTCTGTTTTAATTCTCTGTGTTTGAAATCTTTGGATGTGGGGGTTGGGTGGGGATCAGTCTGGCGAGGGGAACCCAAGATATCAATTGATCAAGTAACATTTATTTTTTCACCCTCTTCTCGTTGCTGTGCCTGCCATGTTTCTTACTACAGCTGTTATAAACTGAGCAATACTTGGAGTTAAAGAGCAAAAGCTACGCCATGATTTCTGTGTGTATTGTAATGATGGGATGGTGTTTGCTGAAACAGTTGGTTGACTACACAGGCAAAAAAAAAAGTTCAATTCATTATGTCTTCTGATGAATTTAGATTGGTTTGTAAACTTTCAGGTGGCTGTCACATCCTAAGCAAAATCCATATCTGTAGATGCATTTTTTTAAAAAGTCATGTTTAACATTAGGAAAAGAGAAATATAAATGAAGCATTTGCCATTTGGCAAGAGGCCTCTGAAAGTCTGCAACATGTAAAGATTCAAGAATGCCCTGAACTGGTCTCATGGAATTACTCTTCTTGTAGCCAGCTCTGCAGGAGGTTTAGCTGTGATGGACTACAGAAGGACCAGTGCTAAGATGAAGCTGCTAAGTCTACACAAGAGTGTAGTATTGGTTGGCATTCTAGTGATTGGGGAAGGCTCTGAAGTTCTGTGAATGACTGACTTGGGATGAAGAGGGGCAGCAAAATGTTCACCTTTATGACCACTGCTTTGGACATAGATCTGCGGGCTCTTGTCCCAGGACCCCTGTGGCAGTCTCTACAAATAATTACTGGATTGTTCTTAAAATCCCTGAGCAGGTGTTGGCCAATGAGTTGTCCTTGTTATTCGCTTCCTCCTCCCTCTCCCCCTCCCCTTCCCCTTCCCCCT